AAAAAAAAAAAAAAAAACTGGAACATGCAAGGGGAAAAAAACAGAGCCAGAGCAAATGTTACTGCACCACAGGCAGGAGTCTCCCGAAGAGAAGGGACTAAGTCCTTTCTACAAAGTCCCTTTGACTCTCCAAATGAAGGTCTGAATTTCCAATGAGTACACAATTGGAGTGTTTAGAAGAGTAGAATCAATTACACAATTCTCATAAAACTTCGGATATAACAAACACAATAGGAGCTATATAAATTTTTTTACTTGCCCTTCAGATCACATTTTGCTCATTTTCCTTCTGACACATTCAAAATCTAGCAAGCATGTACTTTTAACTGTCTTGTGTTGATCAGGCAGCAAAAGCAATTACATATTGCTCTTATAAAATAATTGGAGTTAGAGGGAAGTATTAATAACTACTTCATTGAATATTGGGAAAGGCATAAGAAGAACATTAATATTTTATTTCTTCTCCAACACTGTGATTTAGCGAGAAAATATTAAATGAAAATAGAACTTCACAGAGAAAGCCAAAGATAAATCCAAAAGTTAGTGGAAATCACAACTGAAACAGAACAGTCTGCTTAAAATTAAGAATAGCAAGAACAAATGATGATGGAAAATAAGAATGGTTGTTGGCTAAATATGATTAAGAAGGAAAATATCATAAATAAATACAAAGAGGAAAATTTGTGACTCATGGCATTGAAAATCTAGGCATGCAAAGATTTCCTGTACATAAAGCAGCTATGTAATGAGTAGGGCATAGAACACTAGCTCTGTTTAAATTACAAATACAGGAAACACGTTAATATGTTCATCTCCTTTTCTTGTCATGTGATTCAAACACAGTTGGAAAGCTACATTATAGCTTTCCCTGGTTCCCAAATTATGTTTGTCTTTAATATTTTAAGATATAATTGAAAAATGAAAAGTATATAAACATACATTACATAATATGACGTTCTGAAATATGTATACATTGTGAAATAGTTAAATTAGCCAAAATATATTACGATCTCACTTGTCCTTTTTTGTTGTGGTACCAAAGACCCTCCTCACCAAAAGCCTATTGTAACTATCTATGAGACAAAAGGTGAAAAATACCTTGACGAATTTGTTTGGTCTTAACACTGTAGATAATGGGGTTTGTTACAGGGGGTGCCAGTAGATAGATGTTGGCCATAATGACATGTACAATTAGAGGGGCATGCTTGGCAAAACGGTGAGTCATGGACACTCCCACCATGGGTACATAGAGAACCAAGACAGCTAAGATGTGGGACATACAGTTATTGAGGGCGCGGAGCCTTTCAACATGAGAGCCAATTCTCAGCACGCTTCTCAGGATGAGTCCGTAGGAAAGCAAGATGAGCAGGGGGTCCAGGACAACAATGAACAGAATAAGGAAAAATCCATACCAATTGTTAATGGTCGTGTCAGCACACACCAGGTGAATCATGTCTTGATGGAGGCAGTAGGAGTGAGAAAGATTATGGGAGCCACAAAAGGGAAGTCGTTTCAGTAGGAACAAAGGGGGAAGGACAGCCAGAACACAGCGGCAGATGATGGCTAGTCCTATTCTTCTGATGACCTGGTTAGTGAGGATGGAGGCATAGTGGAGGGGCCGGCAGATGGCCACATAACGGTCAAAAGACATGGCCAACAACACAGAAGATTCCATAAAGGAGAACGCATGGATGAAGAAGATCTGAGTAAAACAAGCCTCAAAACTGATCTGTGAAGTGTTGAAACAAAGGATCCCCAGTACGGTAGGCAGAGTGGTTAGAGTGAGCCCCAGGTCTGTCAGGGCCAACATAGACAGGAACAGGTACATGGGCTCATGCAGGGAGGGCTCTGCCCTGATGACAGCCAGTATGGTGGTGTTGCCCATGATAGAAACAGTGTAGAAACAACAGAATGGAATGGAGATCCAGGTATGGAAGACCTCAAAGCCAGGAGGAATGCCCATGAGAATGAAGTAGAAGGGGATTTCACTGGAGTTAGTGGATGAAATCATGACCAAAAGAGTCAGCCACAAGAAAAGACTTCTTTGCCACATATGAAAAAAAGTGAGCAAAATAAGGATTTGAGTATTATTTTATAACCCGTTGAAATTGCTATGTGATGTATTATCCATACAGACCTGAGAAAATCAAGAAGCTAGAAAATGAGTTAACATAATTTTATTATTTTTGTATGTTTGCGTTCAGAGCTCTTCAGTTTTACAACCACAGACGGGAGCATGAAGCACTCCTCTGCTTCAACTCAAGAACTTGTTTTCCTATTCAGAAAACAGTTATGAGTTTGCAACAGGAAGTTATAGGAATGTTTGATGGCCATTGGAGAGAATAACAGTGGAGAAGAGGTTACTATAGAATATTTTTTGAGGTCCTGAGGCAAGGAGAAACCAGTGAACTACAACCAGCAATTTTAATGTACCTATTCAGTCTTTTGAGTCAGTCAGTCCACAAAAGAGAGACAGAGAGAGAGAGAGAGAGAGATTATCTGAGGCAAAGCAAGGGGGAAACCATGCCATTTTTTAAAGGTAGAAGTCTTAGAGAACCTTTATAGGCCAAGTGGTACAGGACCACTTTTTAATTTTTAATTCATTAGCAGAAGGGCTAGAATAGGACCTTGCCTGAGAGAAATGTGTTATATTTAGTGCTGAGATAGCTTTCTAAAGGACCTATATTAAAAGTAATGATTAGGAAGCACTTTTGCAGAAAGACTGCAAATATGAATAGAAACATGTCTGTGAAACAGCCTCATAGGTTTAAATTTAGGACAAAGATCCTCTTGGTACCTAAACCAATTACATCTTTTGGAACAGCCAATAATCTTTTGTAAACGCCTTAATTTTATATTGATTAAATTTGGATAAACCTGTCTGTTTGTTTGTTTTTAATATTTTTATTTAGTAACAAGTTCCTATACTTTCTTTAAATTTATACTTGAGAAACAAAAAATACTTGCTATTTCTACACGTCACTAGATAATGTAAATTAGTACTCAAGAATCTCTTGAGTATTGTTTCCTGAACCAGTCTATATAGTAGCAGATGAAAGCAGGAGAGAGCAGAAAGGAAGGACATTTTAGGCAACCAAACCCAAATCTCTTCTTCTTAGTTCATCTCTACCCAGCCTTGTCCTCAGAGATTCAGGAACAAGCCCATCACCGAGAATCCTTCTCTCAGTGCCCTTCCTTCTAAACTTGTTATCCAAGAAAGTCTCCTTTAGTAATCTTGTTGGGAATGTGTCTTGGCACAAACCTTGTGGATCTGTAGACCATGATCTAGAATTTTAGATCATGTCTCCTTTGCTCCTCCAGCCCCACCCTTCCTTCCACAAGCCCTGGACTGTCTTACATCTCTTGTTCATTCAAAGGGATAACATTCAGCCTCACTTCCTATCCCATTTTCTGGCATTGATGACCATGCACTTCACCTGTATCTGCTCGCCTGGTGTCTTCAGTTTCCTCTAGCACTTATCCAGCTGAATAGGAACGTTTGTATAGCTCCTTCAGGTCTTCAGGGAAGGAGTAGAATCTCTTTACACAGAAGCCCAAGGGACTAATGCAAGAAAGGTCTGTGTGCCTTCTACTTCTCCATATCACTAAAGGACATAGAAAAGGGTGAAGAAATTTCATGATTTTCCAAGGACAACCTGAGCAAAATCAAATATACTAGCAAAGCAAACAAACCAATTAACAAACTAAAATTTTTGTGTAAATAGCCAGTTTCTCCAGAGATGCTTTTAAATATATATATATATATATATATATATAGAGAGAGAGAGAGAGAGAGAGAGATTTTTTGCAATAGGGCACATGTGCTCTCCAGAGAGAGAGAAAGTGAGAAATCACCCCTCAGGTGGATGGTCATCCCTTCTCCTCTGTTCTCCTCTAGGGATTTTGGGCAAGCACACAAACACACCCGGCATGAGTTTTAAGCCACTAGGTCCAGGACTCAAACTGCAGTCAGCTACGTGGGAGTCCAGTTATGTAACCATTACACTATCTGCAGATACCAAGATGCTTTTCTTAAATAAAAATTTTATATTTGAGTTTTAAACATATTGTTATGGAATATACATATGTGTATATATATATATATATATAGTGTCATGGGGAAAGTCATGATGCATTTTTGCATAGAAAACATGTCATAACTTTTCCAACAACTTAATAGATCCATATAGATCGTATAATTGTTACTATGGTAAATTTTTAATAAGATTTTTAGAAGAATCAGTAGAATGAGTGACCTAGAGGAAAAATGTCACACGTACCTAGGTGAAACAGGTGTTTGATTTCTCTGAGTTTGATGGGCTATGAATAGAGATAGACAAGTAAACTGACAGGCAGACCTTAGCTCAAGTTGTGACATGGCTTTCCAACGGCGATCTCTAAAAACTCCAGAATAAAAATAAAGACTGGTCCTCTTCAGAATAATGGAGAGAAGTACAATGCATGGAAAAAACTCCTGAAAGCATTGCCACAGAAAGATATGGAGACGTAGCAGTAGACATTCCAGATTTCTATGTTCACATAGGTACAGGAAGACAAGAAGATAAAGAAAATAAATTCAAAACGAAAATTGTTTAAGACTCAAAACCAGGCCAGTGGGTCCCTTTTGTGATTTTAACTTCTGTGAGTCTTTTGAGCATCAAAAACCCACATCAATTTTATACTACAAATTGCTCATCCAAAAGAGAGACTTAATTCCTACAGAACTGAAACTGGAAAGAGCGAGTTGACCTTGTAGGCATTTTCTGTGACAACACCCTTGGAAGAGTCTGTGAGTCTGTAAATACTGGAAACCCTGAGTAAGAGTTTCATTTAGGTCTGTCTGCTCAGAATGGAGAATTCAACATGACTAAGACCAAAGGCCATTTGGGTCTTATGAGGTTATCATCTTTTAATCTACAAAAGTAGAGAAGACTGTTGTCTCTATTCACTGATTTTAGGACTTGTGCTGATGGCATGTCTGTTTTTGTGTGTGCTTGAGAAAGGGAGACATCTGCAAATGAGGAATAAACTGGTTGGAAGCTCTTAGCCCTCTGTGATAGGTATAGAAGATATGAGAAGTCAATCCTGGGAAAAAAGCTACACTTCCTTGATCTGTGGGAGTATTAGGGGATGGAAGAGATCTTGGTGCTATGTGAATTTAAGCCTATTCTTCCCCCTAGTGGTTACGTTGGAAAACTACAGCCTGTGTATTGCCTATTTCAGTTTTTCAGGAGGAATATTATACCCTACCAAATCTGGCTCAGTAGGTCTCAATTCTGGGTACCTTCAATGTAAGTTATTGGACCCGTGAAAAGCATGCCAATCTCTCTCTCTTTTTCATGCACACACACACACACACACACACACACACACACACACACACACAATTCACATAGAGGCACATTGGCAAACAAATTTATGTGTTCTAAAATATGTTACTATTTGCTACCAGGATAGTGAAGAAAGCAAGAAATTCTGAAAAGGCTGCTTGCTGTAGGCCTATTTAAGGAGTGTCCCACACATTCAAAATTGAGTAAAGCCTTGGAAAAGTCTGAGACACTGGCCTGGACATGTATTGGGGGTGGGATTGTATAGGAAAGTTTTTATCTGGTTGACCTGCAGGCTCAAAGATATATAAGCTGGGGACCAGCAGATGGCATAATGGTTACATTGCTGGACTCCTATGCAGTTGACTGCAGTTTCAGTTCCAAATCCAGTGGCTTAGAACTCATGCCAAGTGTGTGTGCGCGTATGCCCAAAAATCCAGACAGAAGAATGGAGGAGAAGAGATTGCAGTGTGGCCATCACCCACAAGAGATGATTTCTTACCTTCTGTGTGTCTCTGTATCTCTCTGTCTCTCAGGCAAGCACATGTGCTCTATAGCAAAACTCTCCAAAAAAAAGAGAAAGATACAGAAGCTGACAGAGGAAAAAAAGCAAATAAATATCTGGTAATAAAAAAATATAGACATGAAAAGGCAAATGAGTGCAGGAATGGGAAGAGCTTGAGGTAGGGCTGATTGTGCCTTGAGGCGGAGGAGCAGGTGATTAGCTAATGTAGATACCACATGGATGATCCTCCTCATATGCCTCATCCTATCTCCCTGGCAAACTATAAGCACTTTTTTTAAGTTTATTTATTTCTTTCTTGAATGAGAGAGTTAGAGAGATAGCACCTCCAACAGGATCATGACACCACCATCCACCCTCAGCCTCAGTCAGCCCTGAGTCATAGGCACATGCATGCCTGGCACACTCAGGGAGGTATCTAGACGTGAACATGAAATCTCCCCACATGGGTAAGCCTTGATTGCTTTTTACCATTGTAACACCATCTGGCCCTCACTATGAGTCCATCTTAATGACCAAAGGAGAAGTGAATGAAGTGACAGATACCAGGGATTAGTTTCTTTATAAAGTTTGAAAATATGATGAGATGGAATGGCTTTTGCTGCAGAAGTTATCCGCCAGTGTCCAATGTCTGGGGACCAAACCTTATAAAGTTAGGGCTCTTCAGCTCCAGGTGAACTATGGAAGGAGAGAGAGAGAGAGAGAGAGGTGGAGGTAATGAAAAGCTCCTGCCTACAGGGCTTTCGGCCCTGGGGACTTTCTTTTGTCCTCAGAGCCTCCCAGCTGGTGTTTCATATTCAGAGGAGAAGAGGATAAATCCATCTCTGCCAGCCACAGCTTGGTTCCTTTCCCTGATCCTGGTATCATCCTCACCTAATTTGTTCCTTCAGTGCAGACTACCTGGGCTTTGCCTTTCAAAATTAGCAGCTACTGGTAAGTATCCACTACTGTCCTGTGCCAGAATTCAGGGGGTAGCTATCAGAGGGATATATGAGGAGAGAGAAAATGCATAAATAGGGGGTTATACAGGTGTCCCCAAAGAGCCGTTAACCTAGAAGGAGGTAATCTGAGTTTTGATCCTGATTTCTCCCCTAACCTTTGAGTGGTGTTGGACAAAAGTGTGCCCCACATGGGCTCTTAGTTTTTCACTCACAGCATAATACTGAAATCTAAGATCCCCACAGAATCTCCTCCACTTCTGATACTCTCAGATTCTATACACAGAAGCAGAGGCAGGGAAAAAAATCAGAGAGCAGGACCTGCTCTCTCTGAAAAAGAGAAGTCATCTTCCATTTTCTGTTGCAGAGGCCAGAATAAAGGCTTCTCTTCCTGACCAAGACTTGCATAACCTGGCCAGGTCCTTCCTGGATCATGTCTAGACATCAGTCGCCCACTGGCATCAGGATAGCAGAAATCCTCCAGTATCCACAGTCTGCCCTGATGAGTTGTCTGGTGCACTTAACGTTCTCCCTTTTCTCATCATCAAAACAGTCATTCATTTACTCAACATATATATTAAGTGCATTTTAGGTGCCAAATCAGTTAACACAACAGAGAAGATCCATAATCTGCTTAGATTAAAACAGACAATCCGCTGTGGCATTCCCGTATCCAGGATATGACCTGCCCTTTCCAGAACCTTCCTCCATTCTACTTCTTTTAAGAAGCATGTTTACAGAAGAATTTGGCTATCATAGGAATATTATCTGGGGTTTAGTAATGAGTGATCTGCTCCAAGTCCTTGGGCTTAAGTGACACTTCATTTACATATTCTTTAAACCACTAGAAACAGTGACCGCCAAGGGTTCACTTAAAAAAGTAATAAATATAGGGACTGGCAAGTGACATGGTGGTTAAAGGCGCTGGACTCCCACATGGTCTACGACGGTTCAAGTCTCGGACCTGGTGGCTTGCTTTCTCACTTCCTCTCCCTCTCTCTCTGATCAAACTGAAAAATAATGATAATAATAATAAATAAAGTTAAATAAAATAATTCTTTAAAAAAAGTAGTAAATACTAAATTGAAATGCAAGTATTTATGACATAGGTAAGCAGAGAGCTAATTATTCATGGCATGTTAAAAATCTCTCTCCCTTTCTCTCTCTCTCTCTTTTTTAAATTGTCATAGTACATATGTACTCACTGGAGACAGAGACATGGGGGAAAAGGGGACAATACAGCTCTTAGTTGGGTGTTGTCACACTACAATCCCTTCTCCTTCATTTTGCTATCCAGTTGGGATTTGAGGTGTGCATGTACACATGCCTGGCATGTTTTTCAAGCTGCCAAAGTGGGATTCAAACCACAGTTGGTCACCTGGATCTACTAGACTACAGGACCAGCTTGTAAAAATCCTTCCCAGGATTTTCTCCTCAGGCTTCAACTGTAAATATTGTAGTTACGTTACAATTAGAAGTGACTGACTATGTGCTCATGAATGGACTCCTCTGTTTCTCAGTAAAAAAGGAGAAAAACCGGTTGTATTCCTGTCATGGAAAAAAAATGTCTCTTTTGCCAAAAGAAAGTCCCCAAATTTCTTTTCCAAAAGGAATAATTCCAGCTCTACCATTGTCCCTCTGTAGACACGTTGCTTCCACCAGATCCCTTTGCTGCCCATTTTATCACTCAGAAGTCAGTGAATATATATCCAAGCACAGAACTCCAGACACAGCTAATCAGGACTACAGGTGAGCACTTTATCCATGCATTCATCATTTAGTTTTTCTGGCAAAAATATATAGTGTTGTTTGCCAGATGCAGGTCACTGCTCAAGGGGTCTTAAATAATCCCAATCTAGTCAGCTAATACAGTGTGCATTAAAATATCATTTTATATATACATATAGAGGATATATATTAAAGATAAATAAGTAAATTATATATTTAATATATAATATAAATACATATGAATATTATGTAAATAATGTATGCTATATAAAAGAAGAATAACTAGAAAATATGTAAAGAATATAAATGTATATATAGATGTTATATAAAGTAAACATGAGTAAATTCATACACTTAAATATGTTAATTATATAAACAAGGGATTTTAAAAGTTTATAGAAAAATGTAATTAAAATACAAGTTTATTGGGGCCAGCCGATGGCATGGTGGTTTAGATGTTGGACTCCTCCATGACTGATGGCAATGCAAGTCCCAGGCTTTGCAGCTTGAAAAATCACTCTGAGTTTGTGTGTGTGTGAGTGCTCCATATCCTGGGAGGAGAATATATAGTCATTTAGTCAACGGCAGTTTGAATCCTAGACCCGGCTCCTTAAAACTTACACCAGACTCATGTGTGTGTGTGCCCAAGATCCTGAGAGCAGAATGGAGAAGAAGAGATTGCAGCATGGCCACTCCTTGAGGGGTGATTTCTCGCTTTCTCTCTCTGTCTCTCTCTGTCTCTCCAGTGAGTGCATGCACCCTATGGCAAAAAATCTCTTTAAAAATCTCTTTTAAAATCTCTTTAAAAATAATTCTTGTTTTTTTTTTTTATCTTATTCTTCACATGAATACCACATAGTAGACATTGTTTTGGGTTTTATAAATACCTCACTATAATGTAGTCAGCTTATTAGGGTAATGAAAACTAAAAGTTGTTGGAATAATCCAGGCAGAGATAATAATGATCTGAGTTAGAATAACCCTAGTGAAAATAATGATGAGTAAACCAACCAGAGGTATTTAGTAGAAGAAACCCCATGACTTGGTGATTCACTGCTCAGATACTGAGAAGGAGTTAGTTAATACTAGAGGAGTCCAATATAAAACCTAATTATTGACTTAGGTCAAACTGAAGAATTAACTAGAAATATTGTTTCTTTTCAGCTCATTTCCTGAGGAATGCCAGCCCCATATCTTCTACATCCTCAACTCAATCTCCTGTCCAACATCACTCAGTTCAGTCCCATGTTCTACCTCACAGGTTTTCCTGAATTGGAAACCATTGAACACTGGATTTTCATCCCCTTTTTCTTCATGTATCTAATGGCCATCTCGGGCAATTGTTTCATTCTGATAATTATTAAGACCAACCCTCGTCTACACACACCTATGTACTATTTACTATCTTTGCTGGCCCTCACTGACTTGGGACTCTCAGTGTCCACCTTGCCCACCACTATGGGGATCTTTTGGTTCAAGTCTCATAGTATTTACTTTGAAGCCTGTCAAATCCAGATGTTCTGCATCCACTCCTTTTCCTTCATGGAGTCTGCAGTGCTCCTTGTCATGTCCTTTGACCGCTTTGTGGCCATCTGCCACCCACTGAGATACACAGTCATCATCACTGGTCAGCGAGTGGTCAGGGCAGGACTGATTGTCATCCTTCGGGGACCTGTGACCCTTCTTCCCATTGTCCTCTTGCTGAAGGCTTTCCCCTACTGTGGACCTCTAGTCCTCTCGCACTCATTTTGCTTACACCAGGAAGTGATACATTTTGCCTGCGTAGACACCACCTTCAACAACCTGTATGGGCTGACACTGGTGGTGTTCACTGTGATGTTGGACCTGGTGCTCATTGCATTGTCGTATGGATTCATCCTGCACACAGTAGCAGGACTGGCCTCCCAGGAGGAGCAGCTCCGAGCCTTCCAGACATGTACATCACATCTCTGTGCTGTGCTAGTATTCTTTGTGCCTATGATGGGGCTGTCCTTGGTACACCGCTTTGGGAAGCACGCCCCACCTGCTGTGCACCTTCTTATGGCCAATGTTTACCTCTTTGTGCCTCCTATGCTTAACCCAATCATATACAGTATTAAGACCAAGGAGATCCGCCGTGCCATTATCAAGCTCCTAGGCCTTAGAAAGATCAATGCTAAGTCCTGGGGCTAAGATTTCCTCTGGCTGCCTATAAGAAGGCCCCTAATTGAGCCAAATATTTACAGCATTGAGTTCCTATTCTATCACTCCATATTCTGGTACATTTTTTCCACTGCCTGAAATAAAGTATGAGTGAATTACTTTCTTGAGTTATGGCTTAAGATTGTTAATGTACTTTTGCTTCAATTATAATGCCTCCTCATACACCTGAGACCTGGTACTTTGGGCATTGTCAAAAGCTGCCCAGAAGATTTTCTCAAGGTTGAGCGCCCATGTACAAAAGCAGAAACTAAAATAAAACTAAATGAAAGCTGTTTGGAATTCCTGAATCCATGGTAGGAAAAAGAAAGTGGAATTGATTTAACATATCCAGCAAGTTTTTCTTCAGATGCCAGATCAGGTAGGAAGATTGGTAGTTAATAGGCAAGGTTTTCTATACCCCAGAACTATGAAGAGCAACTCTTAAGAAGCACCTCTTAGTCAAGGAAATTTGAGCCTGGTACAGAATAGGTGGGAATTACCAGAGGGCCAGACGGAAGCAGAGCAAGGAAACGATGGGTAACACTGATTGAGATATGAACTTTCTCAAACAAGAAAAGAAGTTTTCTTTCTTATTTCTGGATTCCATTCTATGCATCTACACATTTATGAATTCATTTACTATTTACATCTTGCATATATACCTTGTTTCAGGGATTGCATTTATGTATATTTACTGGTGAGTAAGACATGCATAATTTTTTCACATAACTTAGTTCAACCAAGTTGCAAATATATTTAATTACATTGATTATATAACTTTATAGAACATTTTAAGCATGGAATGCCATATTATCTGCTGTTAATGGGAATATATTTATGGAAAAGCATTTAAAACTATGTTGAATGTAATAAATTGCAAAATCTGGAAAGCAGTTTGGTCTAGGAAGAGAGGAGAGTAAATTGAAGTGAAAAGAGTTACACATGAGGTTTCAGTTCTGTCTGGAAGAAAACTGAGACAAATTGGCAGAATGTTAAGATATGTTGCAGCTGAACAAGCATGTACGTGAACATTTTTATGGAAGATTTATTATGTCATTCTCTATATTTGCCATGCAAATATTATATAATTAAAAAATAAAAGTACAAAATGAAATTTTAAAAAGTTCTGAAAATGGATATGAATCTTAGGTGCACACACATGTATATGAATGTGTGTGTATGTGTCTGTGTGTGGGTGTAAATCTTGGTGGTTTATCCTTGGGTGACCCTACATAATCTGAGTCTTAAAGGTAGGTACTCCTTTGAGATAGGTTTTATCCTGAACTGAGAGATGAGACTCTCAAATAGCAAATCTGAAGCTTAGAATATCCCTCTCCTTTGAAAGAAAATTTTATTTCTATGGATATCATTGGTAGACTGAGATATAAAGAACACAGGATTTTTATTTAGATTAGAGTCAGAGTCCTGTTTTTGCCACTTATTAATAAGTAGGACACCTAAGTTTCAAATTTGTAGCTAGATATAGATAGCATTAGAAATTTCTACATTACTGGAATTTGAAATGCAAATTAAAATATTTAAAACTTATCAGTAACTCTTCAAGAGCAGAGTTAGTAATCAAGATCTGTGCTGACAAGTATTTGGCAATATTACAACAGCATTTGAAAATTGTAATACCTGACTACAGTGTTTGTGCTTTTAACTATACTAAATTGCTTCAATAAAAAATAAAAATTAAAAATAAAATTAATTACAGCTGCATTTATTCTTGCTGATGACAGTATCTGCTTTAAATAGACTGAACTACTTCCCAGCACTGGGCCTTTGCTCCTGCATGCAGAAATCTTTGTTAGGTCTTTGAAGCTGACAGTGTATTTGAAAAGCACATCATTTTCAGGTAATATAAATTATGTAAAATATTTACATAATTTTGTGATGTCTTGCTTTGTGACAGCTCTTTGTACATGTTTCCCCCTTTACCTGGAATGTTGGATCTGATATAAGAGTAGCGATTAATAATGACCAACTAGATACTTATATCTCCTATGAAGTTTGTTTTTGCTCTCCCTGAGGAGTTAGTGGTTCTCACAACAATATCCTATAGAAGATAATGATTTTGTCAAAGTCAGAGATTGTGAGTTATTGACCTTTCCATTCAGATATCTGGGTCAAATATTTTAATATTTGATGAATGAATGAAAGTGAATGACTATGTGGTTAGAACGACAATTGCAAAGGAAGCTTTGTCTGGGGAAAGAAAAGGAAGACAGAAAGGAGGACTGAAGGTCACCCAATACATTTTCTTACATGATGGCTGTCAGTGAGAAGGGAAGGTGAGGGATCATCTGGTGGCCCATGGTGTACTCATGGGGCAGTAAGTTCCTATGGAAGATAACTGTGGTGCCCAAAGTCTAGGTCCTAGAAGGATTCATATCTTTTCTGGGACTTTGTCAGGTCTGCATGCACCTCAGAGGATTCCTCTGAGGGTCCAAGACCCAAGGGAGAATATCAGAAGCCTTATACATGCCCTGCAAGTAATACAGCTCAGCATCCTGAATCTATCAGAAGAGGCTGGCACAGGAGTTGGAACACGCTGCAGGAATCTGCTAAGAATCTACAGACAAAAAGGACTAGTAAGTTGTTGAAGGTCCTTTGGTTTGTGGATCAAGGAGCCAACACATTGGCCTCTATGATATCTCTTATCTAGCAGGTCTATAAGAAGGTATATGGATAGGGCAGCTTTCAGGAGCATGGCCAATCTGTGGTTAGCACTGCTGGTCTGTGCTGTCTCACAGATCTTCTTAGCTAGGAATAGGGTCAGAGAGCTGTACTTGTTTCTGGACTTGCTTTAGAGTGGGGTGACAGAGGATATGGCAGGCAAAGATCAGAACGTCAATTCTGCCCCAGTGGTTGGGGCTTCTGACATTTTAGAGTGCTTCTTGGTGTGCCCCATGAAGTTCAATAGTTTACCTAAAGAGGAGACCAGGCATGTGTGAAAATATTCTATCACAGAAAGAAGCTATGGTTTAGGGAGATTCAGGATCTTCACCAAAACCATGCATCTGGCTTATCCAAAAGCCCACTCAATGGCTCTGGGCTCCCAACCCTGAATTCATACTCTTCATTGTCATCAGATCACTAAGGAAAACTTAGATTGCACTGCAAACATTAAGGGGAGAGCCATATTTGGCAAGTGGTAGACAAATATGATGAGAATGTATTAAAGACAAGGTAATATTGAAAGTCACAAATAATAGTCTGCATCTATTAAATATACAGTTTTAACTGCACCATGTTTAGAGTTGCATATAAATGGCTTTCTAACCTACAAAATAGGTATAATAATTGTTTTATTTATTTCTGATGAGGAAACCAAGTCCAAACAAGTCACTTGAGCAGTCACAAAAGTAACATATGTTGGAGTTAAATGTTAAATAATAATAATAAAAATAAATTTTTAAAAATTCAAATGCAGATCTGATTCCTGAGCCACTTGTCTTCCCTACCACAGTGTTGCCTATGAAACTGTGCCCCGAGACCATTGTCCTGGAGCAGTTCTTCACTATGTGGTGTCCTGAGATGAGAAGACTATGGGTGAACCCTATCCACTCTCTCCAGGGCACTAGTCTATTAAGCCCTCATGGGTCCCCACCCACCAGGTGTGACCCAGACTTCTCTTTCATCCTGCCTCAGTGTCCAACCACATCTCCTGGACCAACCTCTCTACCACCTAGTCCTCCTGCTGTCTCACAAGAGACATTCTCTTCTCCTCAAACCCTTCTCTTTCATTTGGCTTCCACTGTGGCTAGGTCCCTCAGCTCCCTCTCAATTTACTTCCTGACTTCTCTCTTCACTGCTCCCCAGTCTCCTCACTCCCTCACCAGTTTTCTCTCCACATCTCTCTGCCTTCAGCATCTCTCTTCTTGATCTTTCTACCACCCTGTCTCTGAGAGTAGTTTCCCGACTCTTCAGGCCATTGCTCCATTCCCTCTTTGTCCCCGTCCCCTCATCCTCTGCACTTCAGTTTCTTCCTTCACGTTACACAACCATGTTTCCTCTAAACCCACTTCCCTTTTTCTATCCGAATTCCCCTCACCAGCTTCCACTGCTGCTCCATTCTTCTTCTACTTTCTCATTGTCTTCCAGTCTCCCCCAATTCTTGAACCAAGATGTATGCCACTCTTACCCCTTAGCGTTCTCTGTCACTGTCTCTCTCCCTGCCCATCTGGCCCTCATTAGATCTCTGCTGTCCACAGCCTCATCCCTGTCTGCCCATCAGCTCTAATTTCTGTCACTCGGTATACTCTGTAATCTGTTCCTTAGTCCCCCCTCCTTTTTGACTGTTTTCCAATCCCTCACTAGAGCATGGGTAAATCCCTAGTAGATCCCAAATCATTCAGAGATATGTAACACTATCTGCCAAGATTTAAAACAGAAGTATTAAAGAGGATATAGAGGGGTTTTGTATAATAGGAAGAGTAAAGAGTAGAAACTGTAGGAAAATATAACACAGAATTACATGGTTTTCTATTTAGAATAAATGATAACAAATATTTTTACTGTATGTTATACTCTAGACTCTGTTCTTCATTCTGTATGCATGCTGTATCAAATAAAACTCATACCCATTACTTGATTAGGAAATATTTGTACCCTTATTTTCCTGATGAAGATGTAGAAGCAAATATGTCAAACAGAGATGGAGGATAGTGAGGCCTGTCTTGTGAGCATCTTCCCAGGTGCTCCATTTATAATATTAATAAACTAATTCTAGGAAAAAATAGGCTTTATTACTGTTGCTGCTGTTCTGAGGTACATTCATTGATATGTATTTCCCGCTATACCTATATAAGGTCTAATAAGTTTATCCGATTTATTAAAGTTGCCTAACTTGTGTCAGGTCTCCAGCTTGATTTGGAAAGAAGAACCATATCTTTTTTTTTTTTTAATTTTACTGTAGACATGTGTACTTGCTGTAAGAAGACAGAGCAAGAAATAGGAAAAAGGAGAAAGCACCCCCTCAGGGGAATGGCTGTGCCACAATCTCTTCGACTCATTCTCTTCTCAATATTTTGGGCTTGCACACACATAGCTATGTCCAGTTTGTTTTTCTTTTTTTTTTTCTTTTTGGAGAGTTTTTTTTGTTATAGGGAGCATGTGCTCGCAAGAAAGAGAGAGAAAAGAGAGATAGAAGCCAAGAAATCACCCTCCGGTGGGGATGGCCATGCAATCCCTTCTCCTCCATTCTCCTCTCGGGATCTTGGGCACACACACACACACACGTGTCCAGCGTGAGTTTAAGCCACCGGGTCAGGGCCTCGAACCATGGTTGACTATATGAGAGTCCAGTGATATAGCCATTATGCCAACTACTGGTCCCCTTCAGCTTGTTTTCATGCCACCAGGTCTGCAACCTGAAAAACACAGTTGGCCATATGGAATCTAGGAACCTAATCACTATACCACAAGTTTACCCAAGGCATATCATTAAATAAGCCTGAAAGAAGAAAGAGAAAAGGAACTTTGGCATGTCTGTACACTTGGAAATTATATTTTAAGAGAAAAACATCTTCAAATTATAGTAAAAGTAATAGCTTTTAAAACACAGACTACGAAGGTCAACATGTGGTGTAGAGGTTAAGGTGCTGGACTCCTACATGACTGTCCGCAGTTCAACTCCCAGACCCAGTGGCTTGAAACTTATGCCTAGCTCATGTGTATACAAGCCCAACATCCCAAGAGGAGAATGGAGGAGAAGGGATTACAGTGTGGCCATCCCCCCCTGGGGAGTAATTTCTCACTTTCTCTCTCTCTGTTTCCCTCTCTCTCTGAGTCTCTGGCAAACACAAGTGCCCTATAGCAAAAATCTCTCAAAAAAACTAAATTAAATAAATAAGTAAATAAATAAACACAGGCTATGCAAGTCAAATTATTTAGTAAGACTCTATGAGGCAATGATGAGACAATTAAATTTCCAAGGGCCTGAGAAGAAACTGAGGCCTGAAAAACTGGATGTGAGAGTCATGTGTCTGAGCAGAGAAGTGATTGGAAAGACACAAAATAGTCCTTCTTCATCATGTGGACATGTGCTGGAATCACATGATACTGTTAAGGCGGGGAGCAGATAGGATGAGTAAACTCTCAACAGACATCCCCAAATTACTTGGAAAAAAATCAAAGATAATTTTTTCTACAGGAAAGAAAAACCTTCAAGAGGTAATGTCATACAAAGAAGAAAACTTAGACTAGTAGTATTTCTGAGGATTTGAACCTTCTAAGGTCAAGCTACACAGATACTTAAGAGAGATAATGCCAACCAAGCCTATCTTATACTAGCTGATCAAAGATAGATGTAAGAAAAGTCTTTGTTGAGGCTTACTGTCATTGAGTTAAATGAATTAAATTGAAATAAGAAAATTAGTGCAGACAAAGGGAAATGGTTTAGGCTGTTTGGGAGGGCAGTCTAGTTAGCAGGTCTTCAAGCCCAGGCAGTACTGAGAGGCCATATCAGCAGGGGACTGGTGCCCAGTGGTAATGGGAGAACTCACGCTTCCTAACCTAAATATTAACCTTCAAGCACATTGTCCCCTTTATAGACAGAATAGGCCTTGTGAGGATGCCAACTGCTCTGAGCGCCAACTTGAGTTTCTCTACATTCCTCATCCTGGCTGTGACTGACTTGGGCTTGTGCATGTCCACACTGCCCTCGGTGTTGGGTGTGCTGTGGTTTGATGCCCGGGCTGTGGGCCTGGTGCCCTGTGTTCTGCAAGAGCATTTCCTCCACTCCTTCTCCTTCATGGAGTCAGCCGTGCTCTTTGCAATGGCTCTGGACCGCCTGGTGGCCATCCGTTTCCCACTGCGCTATGCAGCTGTACTCACAGGTCCTCGTGTGGCATTGGTTGGGGTTGTGCTGGGCATGCGGAGTGCTGTCATCACAGCTGCTCCCTCCTTGAACCTATTGAAATTTGACTACTGCCGCCCTGGGGCACTCTCCCATGCTTACTGTCTTCACCAGGACATGATCCGCCTGGCCTGCTCTGACACACGCTTCAACAGACTCTATGGGCTGTGCATCATCATGCTGGCCATGGGCTCTGATGTCCTTTTTATCCTGCTCTCCTACACTACCATCCTCCGCACCGTGCTGGCCATCGCCTCTGCAGGGCAGCGACTCAAGGCCCTTAACACCTGTGTCTCCCATATTTTGGCCGTGCTCTGCTTCTATGTGCCTGTGCTGGGCCTGTCCATTGTGCACAGATTTGGGCACCACACCTCACCCCTGGTGCGCATCTTCATGGGGACTGTCTCTGTGCTCTTCCCACCCCTGATGAACCCTGTAATCTACAGCATCAAGACCCAGCAGATTCGAAGGGCCATTCTCAAGGTGATTTCACTGGGAAAGATACAATGAGACACAGAAGATGGACTACTGACGTTCAAAATGAGGAGTGCACTAAAGCTTATTTTCATAGCCTGCTTAACCACAAAGTAATTTTTATTTACTTAGTTTAGTGTAATCAAGTGATTGTACATTCTGAACTGACTCAAATGGTAAAATAAATTTTGCCCAGCCTGGTGGTACAATTGGTAGCAGGCTGAAATGCAATGCTAAATGCTATGTGTCTGATCATGGGTTAGGATGCTCAGGTCGGTCTAAAAACATGCTGGGGCTGTCCAGTGTGCCCAGGATTCTACCAAGCTAGTGGGCTGAGAGAAGAGGTAACTGCTTGATGAGACCCTTCCAATGCTGCTTCTCTCTGTCTCTCTCTTTCTGCTTCTATTGCGTGCATGCATGCTATCTTGAATAAAACAAACTTTTAAAAATAATAAAATATCAAAGTAAATGCTTATTACTACTTAAGTATAGATATTTATATACTTATTTATACACTATTTTCTTACTTGAAAAATGATACTGTACAAAAATGTTTCTAAGCTCAAAGTGACTATATATTTGTCTCTATAGATTTATTAGAACTCTAATTCCATAATAATATTATTAGTAACAAACTACTCTAATAATATGGAAAGTTAAAATCATCATGTAATAGTCTTTGAATTTAGTAATGACTTTACCATTATTCCTCACGATATAATATTATTCTTAAAAAAATTTTTTTAATTGTATATATTGGGCAAGCTGATGGTGTGGTGGCTAAAGCAGCTGGATCCCACATGGCCAACTGTATGATACCAGCCCCAGACCCGATAGCTTGGAAAACACACTGGGCATGTGCGTACGTATGCCCAAAATCCCAACAGGAGAAATGGAGAAGAAGTGATTGTGGGGTGGCCATCCTCTATGAGGTTGGGTGCTGCTTTTTCATTTTCACTCTCCTTACCCCATCCCAGTGAGGGCATGTGCCCTATATTGAAAAAAAAAAGAATACATTTGTCATATACTACGTTATGTTTTGAAGTATATAGATAGTGAGGAATGACAAAATATAGCTAATTTACACATGCATCACCTCAATTATTATTTTTGTGATAAAAATATTTTACATATATTCTTTTCAAGTCTACATATATTAGGTCATCGGAAAAGTCATTATACATTTTTCAAATAATTATTTTATTTAATTTTATTTATTTTAATTTGACCAGAGAGGGACAAAGAGAGGGAGAGAGACAGAAAGCGAGAAAGCAAGTTGCCAGGTCCAGGACTCAAACTGCGGTCAGCCATGTAGGAGTCCAGCACCCTTAACCACCACACCACCTGCTGGTCCATGTCATGATACATTTTTGCATAGAAAAACACATTATGACTTTTCCAGTGATCCAATACAGTCAACAAGTTCAAGATCTCTTGAACTTATTCCTTCCATATAACTGATCATATAACTGAAATTTTGTATTCTTTGACAAGCATTTCTCAACCCCTAGTCCTCCCAAGAACCCTGCCCCCAGTAATCACCTTTTCTCTGCTGCTAAGAGATCAGTTTGTTTAGATTCCTCATATAAATGAAGTTACATGTCTTTCTGTTCCTGGCTTCTTTCACTTAATGTAATGTCCTCCCAGTTGATCCATTTTGCTACAAATGACAGAACTTCCTTTATCTTTGACTTACTACTTTTCCATTCTGCATATATGATTTCTTTACCTATTTATCTGTTGATGAACACTTAAGTTCATTGCTTATCTTAGTTATTTGGAATAATTCCGCTCTAAATATGGGAGGGCAAATATTTTTATAACATACTGATCTCGTTTCTTTGAATGTAACCCATTCATTTGTTTGGATATACCCAATGGAAATGTTGGATCACATGGTAGTTCTATTTTTAATATTGTGAGCTGCCATACTGTTTTTCATGGTGGCTGTGCTAATTCACATTCCTACCACCAACAGTGAACAAAAGTTCCCTTTCGTTACACATTTGCCATCTTGTCATTGCTTGTGTTTTTGATAATGCTCATTCTTACAGATGTGAAGTGATATCTCACTTAGAGTTTGATTGGCATTTTCCTGATGATTAGTGGTTATGAACATTTTTTAATATACCCACTGACCACTTGTTTGTCTTCTTTTGAAAAAAAAAAAGTCTACTTTGTTCTTTTGCACATTTTTACATCAGATCATTTATTTTCTTGCTATTGGGTTATTCGAGTATCTTATATATTTTGCATACAATCAGATGCAGAATTTGCAGAATTTTCTCCATTCTGTAGTTTGTCTCTACACTAATTTCCATTTCCCATCTGTTTATTTTTGTTTGTGTTGCCTATATTTTTTGGTTCAAATTCAAAAAGTCATTTTCCCACACCAATATTGTGGAGCTTTCTCCTTGTGCTTTCTTCTAAGCAACTGCATACTTTTCAAGTCTTAATTTAAAATTTTTATTATATTTTAAGTTCATTTTTGCATATAGTATAAGGATCAAATTTTATTTTTCTTCATGTTTTATTCAGTTTTTCCAACATCATTTACACAGTAAAATTTCTATAGTTCCAGCTTTATCCTATCCTAAGTTACAGCTGCCCTGGGGATTCAAGTGCTCAAATGTCTTCATTTCACTGTAGCAATCACAGGTGACTTACATTCAGCAAAATTGATGGGGCATAATATGAAAAACTGCTCTTTTCCTTCCTACTCCTGATTTCTCAAAATGCTTCCCACTGACAGTGCTTACTAGGAAGACAACTGTCTGAGAAACATGTAAAATGTACTTTGTGGCCACTCGGCCTCAGCGGTTTTAAGGAGAGTACAGAAGGACTGAATGATCCTGGAAGCCAACAAATGAAGAAGGGAGTCCATGATCTTTTCAGTCTTAAAATTTAACTTAGAAATGGCTTGCTTAGGCAGGTCCATGGCCTGCTGGTTACAAGTACTGGATCCCACTTGGCTGACTGCACAGTTCGAGTCTCTCTCTCTAGTTT